ATCAGTCAAAAACTATGTTCTGGGAAATTCTTGGTGGTAGAAAATGGAAATGAAGCTGGAAGTGCTTTCTGCATCTGCATAGATAATTATCGAGTATAAAGTATACTGGTTCAAAGGGTTTCAGATAGAAAATGTACGGTAGACCAGTGGTTAATCTGTACCAAAATTTTCTATGGGACTGCCTTTGGTCAAGTTTACAATTAAACTTTTTTTTTTAAGATTTTATTTATTAGAGCAGAGGGAGAGGGAGAAGCAGACTCCCTGCTGAGCAGAGAGCCTGATGTGGGGCTCGATCCCAGGACGCTGGGATCATGACCTGAGCTGAAGGCAGCCGCTTAACCGACAGCCACCCAGGCGCCCTAAACTTTTATGTATGCATTTCCTTTACTAAAGACAGATCACCAAGTGGCTAAAAGCAAGGGCATGAGGTGAGCCTGATACGGATCCTGGCTCTTTCACTTGCCAGTTTTAGAATGGCATTGGATAAATTAATCTTGCTTAGCCTTGCTATAAATTATAGGATATAATCTATGTGAAAACAACACTGTGTTGTTCTAAGTCTCATATAAATAATGTTATTGCAATTAATATGCCACTACCTAGGAAATGTTTTAATTTGGCAAATTTTATTCTCTGGCCTACATGATCTAAAATTCTCATTCCATTTCAATCGCATAAAATAGGTTGAAGAGGTTTGCAGTTTGGGGATTTCACATATACAGTTTACTCACATTTTAAAGTTAACAGTTTTGTCTCTTCAGAGCTGGTAAAGGATCTTTGGGCTAGAAGAGGGGTTCTTTCTGGGTGGGGAAAGGATGACAGCAAAGAAAGGGATCATATGGCTGTGGATGACAAGGCCTTATAGATAAATGTCTAAATGTAGACACTTTTTTTTAAGATGTTGAGCCTTTGTAACCTCTGCTGGGCTTTGTGAATTCCCTAATGAGGGAAAGTCAGTCTGTGTGGAGACTAAAATTGTGAGATGTTCACTTTTCAAACTCCCCTGTAGCTTTTTTTTTTTTTTTTAAAGATTTTATTTGAGAGAATGAGAGAGGGAGAGCAAAAGGGGGGGAGGGTCCGAGGGAGAAGCAGACTCCCCGCTGAGCAGGGAGCTGGATGCGGGACTCGATCCCAGGACTCTGGGATTATGACCCGAGCCGAAGGCAGTCGCTTAACCAACTGAGCCACCTAGGCGCCCCCTCCCCTGTAGCTTTAAGGCTGAGATACTGGATAAGAAAGTTTGCTCCTGTGAATTGGCTGAATTTGCTATGCTGCTGTCTTTCAAGCAAGAGTAGAGACGCTGGTCAGGAAACAGGAGCATTCTTTCTTTTCTAAGATTTTATTTGAGAGCGAGCACAAGCAGAGGGAACAGCAGAGGGAGAGGGAGAAGCAGGGAGCCCGATGCGGGGCTCCATCCCAGGACCCTGGAATCATGACCTGAGCTGAAGGCAGACGCTTAATGATTGAGCCACCCAGGTGCCCCAAACAGGAGTACTTTGAAAATTGGAATAAGAATTTTGGAAAGGTTTAGATGAATGACTATCCTAAATCTTAAACTCCACTGAGCCTCACTTAAAATGGAAGAAAGCTCTTGGGTGTCTGCTGCTTTGGCATATGACCTCTAACCTCACTAATTTACAGAGTTCCCTTGGAAAAAGCAGCCCATCTGCTGTATCCTTACAGTCCTTTACTGCCTGCAGGATATAGAGTCAGATCCCCGCATGTCCTTGGGAACAAGTACGGAGTGTGACCTGAAAAAATGCTGTTTTGATCAAATATACTAATGGTATGTGGAGTATACCTGTGTAAATAGGTTATGTTGGATCTTGTAGGAACGTAATTTTAAATTGGGTTAAATTATTGATAAGAATACACTTGTACCAGAAATTTTGGCTGTTTGTCAGCTTGAACAGCAGGATGTCACTCTGTTTACTTGGTTGAAAGAAAAACTCAGCACTGGCTCATCTAAATTGAAGGTAAGATGCTAGAAATTCTTTGATATAGAGAAAGGAAACCAAAGACTTAGAGGAATGTTGGAGAGGATGGAGAGGTGATCTCACTGTCTCACTATAGATCCTATGAGAGCCTGGTTAACTCTTTACATAGGCGTTGGGAAATACGGTGGTGAGCAGAGCATCCTTGAAAAGCTTTATAGGATGTCGATTGGCCAGGGATGCTGTGGAAGATGCTTCTGTTGCAGTGGCCCTCCTTTTTCAATGGGCATTGCCCAGGCAGCACTGTGTCAGAAACCTAGTTCCCTTAACTGCTAGACCAGAAAGGTGGACATAATTTTAGTTACTGTAATAGGCAGTAAGACTGACAGGATGATCAGTATAGTCCAACAGGGATTTTTTTGGCCTTGGCTAATTGGTCATGTGAGTCAGAGGGCCAGCGTGGTCCTATTTGATTTATATAACAAAACTACAGGTCTAACCTGAGCCACTATGTTTTTAAATTATTTTTAAAAAATATTTAAATTCAGTTATAATGTATTAGTTTCAGAGGTAGAGTTCAGTGATTCATCAGTCTTTTGTAATACCCAGTGGTCATTACATCACGTGCCTTTTTTTTTTTTAAAGATTT